CCACAAAGCATTAAAAAATGGCTTGAGTACCTCATTCATGAGCCTCATAGAAGTTCTAGGTGCATTGCATAACCCAAACGACATCACCGAATTTTGAAGGCGGTCTTTCATTCATCTCCCGACTTAATACAAATTTGGTGATATATGCTACGAATATCCAACTTAAAAAAAATTGTAGCATACGAGGAATCGAAAAATAGTATTTGATTGTGAATTTATTAATTGCACGACTATCCATACATATTCACCTCTGAGCATTTTCTTTGGCACAAATAAAATTGGAACAACGAGAGGGCTCATAATGGGCCAAATTAATTGTTTCTCTAACAATTAATTTACTATGCATTGTAAACTTCGATATTCTCTTGGAATCATCCTGTAATGAGGGAGGTTGGGGAGTGAGACATTTGATACTAGGTCAATTTGATGTTGAATGGGGCACATAAGTGCCACATGGGCTGTAATTCAACAGGCTCTATATCCTTGAATTGCACAAGTAAATCTTATATCTCCTTGGTCACTTTAGCTATTGGCGACTCCATGTTGCATTCATTCACTATGAGATAAAAAAGAATTGTTGATTCTTTGAAAGAACTTAAGATCATTAGTCTAGAATTTGCACATACCTTGGTTTTTCCTAGTGCTTGGTAGTATGTAACGTGTTGGGTGTTGAAACTAATCAAACTTTTTGTCCCTTCCATTTAATAGGCATTAGGACGACATTCATATATCACTCCTCAATCGAACTACTAAGATTGATCGAGAGTTAAATGGCAAATAGGCATGTCTAAAGCACCACAAAGAACCTCACAAACAAAATATTTTTCAATTGAAAACTTGACACAGCACATATCTGTAACCAATAGATCAATACCTCGTTTCAACCAATTAATGTGGTATTTTATAAAGCTTAAAATGAAAACTTGTATGCGAGCTATTTGATTTAATTCATATTTTAAAACCATATGAATTGCTTTAAGACACCAAATGCTCCATCTAAAATAGCTCAAATAAATAAATTTAATTCTCGCACGTGCTCCAACCAGCACATAGAATGTTCAAGTACTAGGTTCGATAATATTGCACGAACTAATTGGGTTGTAATGTATATAAGATAGAGTTGTAAGTCCTACCCCACTAGTCTGATCCTCTTCCTCACAAGGACTGGAGTTGATTATCTAGTAAGCTAATAAACGTCTAAATCCTAAAGTAGAAATTTATAAGTCCAAATCAGCTAGTATGATCCTTCTACCTATAAGGACAAGAGTCGACATGACTTATGCTTTAAAAAAATTTAAATTGATAAAGCTAAATGCCCCCACTTAAAATATAAAATCTTTAAATGTTTAATACCCTGATGATGACCGTATTGATTGAAAATTTCAACTTGAGGGGTGGTCAATATCCTAAATCAAGATCTTTTAAAATAATTAACCAATATCCAAGCTACAAATCAATCACTAAAGACTTAAAGCAAATCTCTTCACCCTCCACAACAGTTTGTTGAGGGTGACAAATTTATAACCGACTTCAACTCACAAAGAGCTAATGTCATATTAAATGTATCTTTATATTCACAATCATAGCGATTGCATGTCAGTAAGGACCTTACCTAAGTCCTTAGTCCACGTAGTTCTGCCGTCAAATGACACCATAAAATAACTGTTACGACCAAAGCCCTCTGACCGAGTGATTCTCGCCAAATGACACCATTATATTACGGTCACGGTCGTTGTTCGTATGTTTCTCAACGTCTTTCTACCCTTTGAGTTGTGAATCATAAGATTACAATTAATTTACAAAAAGTCTTCTGTTAGCTAATGTTGACTTAAATTTGTCTCCTTAGACAAACATCCACCAATATTTACAAGGATACCTTGGATGACGCAACCCATGGTTGTAGTAAGGATTCGTCTGTCAGGTTTGGTCGATTAACTCCTCTAACTAAATAGATCAGGTACTATGACGACCCGGGATGACAAAACTATAATCTTGATCGGGTTTTGTCTTCATTCCCCCATCATCTGCAAGCTTCAAATGATGAATTATACAACTTAAATCTTGTGTTTGATGTTATTATATGTTGAATATTCAATTATTAATGACTAAACTTAATCAAAAATGCTCTCTCGTTATCAAAAGGGGTAATTAAGCATATGGGCTTATGCCCATGTGAAACCCCAAACCCGAAATAAAAAAAGTACTCGTTAAATGAGGTCAAATCTCTTGGTAGTGTCTTATCTACAATCTAATCAAATTTATGAAAATTTAACCCTCAAAAACTCTCTAAACAAAACAAAATTAATATAAAATGCTGAGAGTTATTGGGGAGCGGTCGTGAATTTTTTGGAGAGCCCACATTTTTATTAAACATACAACATTTGCTTGAAATTAGTGTGTAGGAAATGACATGTAAGGAATTGCTTCATTCTATACCAACTTATGATATTGCCCTTTCCTTCTAATCGAGGGGATTGTAACAGTTGTGACCACTATGCAAATGCTGCTCCTTTTAGTCGGCATGCTACATATTTGACATACTTTTCCACCATAATTTTCATGTTTTCCAAAAAAAATTCCATGGTCTGCTCCCAATTGAGGTAGTCCTCAATGTGTAAATGGCCATTGAAGACCAAAATATACATCTTAGCCTGAAATTGTTGTGGATTTCTATCACGGAATTTATGCTTACAGTTTCCTGATTTTTCGGTTGTGTAAAACTCCTCTTCCTCTTCATTAGAAACTTCAACTTATGAACATACATCCTGTTGCGAGATATATAGATATACCAGTTATTGTGGTATATATATAAATCAAACAGGAGAACAATTGATGAAACAAAAAATAGAACGATAAAAAATTCAAATCATAAAACAGTAACACCACAACAGAACACACAAATTTACGTTGTTCAACAAATTGCCTACTTCCACGGAGCTGCAGAAGATTTTACTTCTTAAGAAATTTACACCAGTCGATCACCTCGACTTACAAGAAATCTCTCACTTCGTTGCTCTCCCTTGTTCTCTCTCTTTTCTTCTCTCTCTACACTGAGGTACACCAAAGAAACTATACACCAAGATACATAAAAGAAGATAAACTTACAATAAAAATAAATCCAATTTCTCTTCTGCCACAAGCCACCAAGAAGAAGTCAAGAGAGAACAATCTTCTTCTTCTTTCTTCTTCCTTCTTCTTCCTCTACCGCAAGAAACTACTCCTCCTTGTACTTCTCTTCCACTGTCTCGTGGAAGCCCGAAGAACTCTTCCTCTATCCTGAGAAAGTCCGAAGAACTCAAAACATGACTACTAAACTGAAGGAGTCATCTGAAGCCTTTTCTCACAAACAGAAAGGAGCGAAAAGATGTTTCGCTTCACAAAAAGGGAAGGCGGGAGCGGTTTGCACCTACGGTTCGCGACTGGAGGCTTTGCTTCCCGCGCGGGAGTGGGCGGAAGCGGGATTGCGAACGAGAGATCACTAAGAGCGGGAGCGGGAGGGGGTCTGAACCGAACTCCAGCATAACACATCTCACTAGTTTTCAAAAATTGAATGCACCACATTCATTCCTAGCATTCTTCTTTTGTTCCTTGTTCCTGAAACTGGTTGTCGATGGGGATACGAGGAGACAAGTTTTTCTGTTTTGGTTGTCAGATGAAGAACCCCCAATGAACTGAGAGTTTGGATCTCCCTCCTCATCTTTGTCCCAAACCTCCTGAATTCCATAGCGAGTTCATTAACGTGTTGTTTGGTGATTGCGTACGCCATCCACGATGTGTCTAAGCTCTGATCATTTTAGTGAGTTGTTGTCCTCCTACTTCCCTCTGCCAAACCTTGATACAAAACATGGCGTAGAAATTGCACAGGGAAAAAACAAAATAACGAGAAAGTTCTATATAAAAATTAAATTTCTAAATTATGTATCAAATATTCCCAAAAGAACACTGTGTACCAATTCCTATCCTATTCTCTCTTAGGATATAACAAATTTGTGAATTCTATATAAGGTAAATACTTCCATCAATAAAAGGAAAAATAATACTAGAAAAATAAAGGTAAAATACTCTGTAGACTTGTGTAGGCTACGATGATTCATATCACATGTATTTCTACAAGTTGTTTTAGTGTTGTTAAAGTAAAGTTTTTGAATAGCTTTTAAATAAATAAATTAGGATCCAACATTCTAAATTCTCTTTGAAAAAATTATTTTAAAAAGTCTGAATAACACCGACATGAATTCATCTAAGTTGAGATGTTATGGTCTCTCTCTTACTTTTAAGAAAGCAAAAATGTTTCATTAGGATTTGTTTCGAATAGTTGCAGTTTTTTGAAGTTGTGAAGCTGTTGTAAAAAAAATTACCGTTGTTCAATAAATTGTTGTGGCTGTTACAAATTTATTTTATTTTAAGAAAATCATGTCGTAATTTTCTAGCAGTGATCGAACTTAATTAGAATATGTTGCAAAACACAACACCCACTGCAACATTCTGAAAAAACAGAGCAAAATTTAGTTTTGTCAAATGTTATAAAGTGCAGTGCGGTACTGCACCGTAACCTCAAACACACTAAGCGGGTCGAACATGAGAAACAAAAATAGAATTTATACTAATACATTTGAAACTTTGAATAAACATATGCAAATTAAAATTTTGAAAATTAAATTGTTCATTATCTTTCTAGAAAATACATAATATTAGCTACAAAAGGGCGCCTACAATTTGTCATTTATTTTTTAATATGCAAAAAAAAAAAAAAGTCATATGCGACACCGATGAAGTCATGTAGATTTACTGATTTTATGAAATGACATCCGTTCCACTTACATAATTTAAAACAAACATTTTATATAAAATAAAATCAAGTTGGATATTTTTATATTGGATCTTGTTAATATGAGGTGGGCACATAATTGAAAAATTAATTAGAATTGTCAAAATGAGCCAAAATATTCTCCTTACTGAATGGTAGTTTCGATTAGTAGTACGTTTATAGGCTCTAATGGAAAGAATAATCAAGTGCTAATTAGTGAAAGGCAGAGGAGTAGGGGTCAGTGATTCAAGAGTTTTCTTGTTAAAATTCCCAGCTTTCCCTATTTCCTCCATAGGCCTCCACTTTCTCTGTCCCTCTACTCCGCTTTTGAGACAACGACTCCAGGGAAAGCCCAGACCTTTATGTATCAGAAATGAATTCCTGGCTTGAATAATTACTGAGGTGACTTGAACTTCGACTCCCAAGACAGAGAAAGGGTGGAATAGAGAGAGAGAGAGAGAGAGCGAGACAGGGGCCTATGAAGTGTCAAGGTCCAAATCAAATGATATAGTGATTTAAAAGGTCTATCTATTCCCTGTATATTTGAAAAGAAGCTGTTTTTAGCTATCTGGTTTTGAGTTTCAGTCTACGAGAGGGCTTCCCCTGTTCTCTGATACTGCTCACATGAGGTTTTATGGAGTCAACTTCTTTAACCTTAACCTTTCATTCATTTCCTGAACTTGCAGTTGTCTTCTTTATTCTTAATTTGTTATCTTTTTTTTTTTTCGTTTTCAGCACAAGAAGAATTGGGATTGATGAGAGCTGATAGTAGAATCGGCAAACACAGAAAGCTTTAAGCAAGTTGGACCGGATGTCTGATCATAGAGTAGGTGAAACTGGTCTTTCGAATTCAGGACCTTCGAGCCAGCCATTAGCTTATGGTCTCCATGGCTTCTCCCCTACGGCCACCAATTTCTTGTAATAATTCTTAGATTTTGTTTTATCTTTTTCTAATTCTTCTTCTATTCCATATCAGAAATCAAGTTAATGTTTAATTTTTATACCATGTTTTTAAGATTGTTTGCTATTTCAATGATCAAAGGTATTATTTTCTTGCATGCAAGATTCAGAAACTTTTTTGCAACTTTTTTCTCTCTCTCTCTCTCTCTCTCTCTCTCTCTCTCTCTCTCTCTCAATTGGTAAATTTGATTTTTTTTTACTAAAGGCCAACTTTTTATCCATGCACCATCAATGATGGCTTACACTTCTTCGCACTACCAAAGTCTTCGATCTTATCCATCAGAGGATATTTATTTCTCCTTTCTGTTCTATGACCTTCTATGATCCTTTAATTTACCTTTTTTTTTATGTTCAGTCTTCCTTAATTATCTCCACTCCAATTCAACCTTGTAAATGAAATGAACCTTGTTCGCTTGTTCAGTGATCAGGAAGGAGCTGCTTATTTTGAGGAGCTGGAGGAGGCTCTCATGCAAGGAGTAGTTGGAATTCGAGGCGACGGAAACACGAAGAGTAATTTCTCTATCTCCATAGCTCTCTCTCTCTCTGTTACAGCCTTGAATAGTTCCAAAAATCACAACTATTCCATGTCATGAAAAAGGAGATGACAGAGGTTTGAAATGGTCGTGTTCACGCAGGGATCACATGTGGTGTGATCGATCACTCCCTCCTATCTCTACTAACTCTCTGCACTCTTTCAGGGAAAAGGAATAAGTTCCATTAGTAGAACGCTGACAACTGAGCTTTCATTTATCTCTAATAAATGCCTCAGCTTTATTTGATCTCCCTGCCTCTCTCCTCCTCTTGCAGCCTATCTTACAACTAGGCCCCCCACACTCGAGATTTTCCCATCATGGCCTATGAGATTTCACCCCAACGCTGTGGTACGCTCTCTATTTCTTCATTCTTTTATCATTGCCCTTTTTTCTCATGGAGTCAATAATCCTTTTACAGCAGTAAATTTTACTCAAAAATTCAATTTCTGATGAATGAAGAAGTTGAGTTAGTTCCATGAGAAGGAAAGTCCGTGTCTTTGAACTTGTGATGGCATCTCTTGTTATTATATTCAACAGGGGAATTCACAGTCAGCAGAGAGCAGTGATTCAGGATCAGCACAGAACACAATATCTCAGCTGGAATCAGAATCTCCAGTGAGCAGAAAGGACGATTACCCTGAGCTATTTACAGAGAAGCAACAACAGCAGCAGATGATTCCCAGTGATGGCTCTAAAGCTGAAATAGGAACAGCAGAAAATCATCAGTCCAGAGATCAAGGCAAGGTACTGTTTTTATAAACTATTCGTGTTTTATTCTCCATCATATGCAGGTTCAAATTCCCAAAACCCCATTATTGGGAAAAACAGCAGCCCGGATATGGAGAAATTAGCCTGAGCCAACTGCCTAGTTTGGATAAATTTAACTATTCTCTTCTTCTACATACAGTTTTTTGTCAACACAGGTCCCAATGGAGGACAACTTCTTCCAAGCTTTTTAACCAGTTTTTGAGTTTTCCATGGGTCTTTGAATCCCACCAAGCCCAAAGGAGCCACTGCTCATGTCTTTCTACAGTCACTTCTGTATAATTCCTCTGATAGCTTGCGTCCAAAATTACAACTTCTGCTAACCTGCATTTCTCTTCTTTGGACTTCAATCTTTTGCTTATATTACCTATATTACTTGCCTTCTATATATATATATGAAAACTTGAGTGGCAGAGCAATATGGTCCCACATAAGGATGAATGAAACTGAGATCCGAGTAGAGATAGAAGTAGCTCATTCAAGAGATTGAGACATCAGAAATCGGACTTATTTATTGTAATCGGAAATCTAGCCAAAAAAATCAAGAAAAAAAGCACAAAAATCTGCTTCAAAATCAGCTTAAAACCCCCAGATATAAAAAGCTAAGCCCTCCACCAAACCATGAACAGCCAGCAAGTAAAGATTGAGCGCAGGACCACATTAGGCTGGGAGCAAATGCGACACAACTATTCCACGGCTCTTTTTCATTTAACGTTCTCATGGAGTTTTAGCATAAAAAACCTCATTTTCTAGAAATTTTACATCTTTGTCTTTTTTTCTGATTTATTGGGATTGCAACGTTAATTGATAGAAATGCAGCACTAAAGGACAAAATACTATTTAAATAACCCCACAGTTTTCAAAACAGTACCAAGGTCCAGTTTTTAGAGGTTATACTTGTCATAAAGAGTAGGTCTTTTATTTATTTTCTTAATTTTGCATTCAAGGAATAACATTTCAATTGAAATATGCATCTTGTACGGACTGCCAAAAACTTAAAAGAAAAAGAAAAAAATAAGGCGGCATTTACATATATATATATATATATATATATATATATCACCCAATTTCGGTTGACCTAAAAAATATCAACATTTAAGTGAAATATGCATAAAATGCATAGGTTGGATGTTATATGTATAAAAATTGAATTTTTGAGTGTTAGATGTGTAAATACTTAAAAATTGAGCTGTATTCATGTAAAACTTCCAAGAAAATATTAAAAAAGAGCATGGTTTTGTGTATTTCCTCATATTGACATGAATTATTCTATATAGAAAAATAAATGCATTTATTTTAAACACAACAATAGATAGATAGATGAAGTAACAAATCAAAATGCAATGAGCTATACAAACCATTTTGCTCTCAATTCATCGCTGCATTTTACCTTTTCTTCCTGTCTCATGTGCGGATGAAATTCATATATGCCTGACAGATTATGCACGTAATGTTGTCTCCTTATGTAAGCTTAACATACTAATTCCTTATGCACTTTCTTTGCTTCAGAGGAGGCTGACTGCAGAAAAGGATGGAAAAAACCTTGACGCAAAGGTTCTTATTCAATTCTCTCTCTCTCCATGTCTCTCTCTTTCTCTCTCCTTTCTCCCTTCTATTTTATTAATCTCTTTAAGCACGTGCTTGCATGATTTATGTGTTAAAAGGAAGATTTGCATGCATACCACTTAATTCCTATTTATTTACATATCAAACCCCTAAAAACTCACATGCATTTTCATGTATTTGCTGATGCATTAATTCGTGCAAGATGAATTATATTTTTATCATACATGTCATATCAGTCATGTATATTGTTTATTTTAATTGCAGACATTGAGACGGCTGGCTCAGAATAGAGAAGCGGCAAGAAAGAGTCGGCTCAGAAAGAAGGTAGGATTTGCTTATTATGAAGATCAAATTGAAAGAGCTTATAAATGACAGTAATTTTTTGCAAAGAATATAACCTTTTATTTATTTATTTATTTATTTTTCTTGTTTTCTACAGGCATACGTGCAGCAACTAGAAAGCAGCAGAATGAAGCTCGCACAGCTAGAGCAAGACCTTGAGAGAGCAAGATCACAGGTTCCATGATCATTTCAAACAAATTAAATAGGGTTTAATCCAAATTAAGCAATATTCTTCAAAATTCTTCCCATACTAATTATTAATCAAAGATATTAATGGATTAATTTTATCTTAAATGAGCATGTTTAGGGTCTCTTATTACCAGGAGCCAGCACAAATGGCGGTATAAGTTCTGGTATCTTACAATACTTGTCTCAACTTAAATTTTCAATTTTTTTCTTATTTAGAAAACTAACATGATGCCAAAAAAAGATTTTTTGTTTTTTTTTCAAGATATTCACTTTTCTCTTCTATGACGTATTAATTTGTGTCTTGTTGATCAACAAAAACACACAACACAGGTGCGGTGATGTTCGACATGGAATATGCACAGTGGCTAGATGAGAACTATAAGCACATGGCAGAGCTGCAAGGAGGCTTACAGTCTCATCTTCCTGACAACAACCTTCGAGTGCTCGTCGACGAATGCCTCAAACACTATGATGAGATTTTTCGGCTAAAAACTATCGCCGTGAAATCCGACGTCTTCCACCTCATCACCGGAATGTGGACTACTCCGGCCGAGCGTTGCTTCCTTTGGGTGGGCGGCTTCCGTCCCTCCGATCTTCTTAAGGTTCGTAGAGCAAATTAGCGTTAGGATAAGAGAGAATATTACGTCTGATTGCGAATGACGACATATATCACATTAATGATATTTCTCATCACTAAACTTTTCGTCACGAAATTTAAGTTCTTATGTATATTTGGGGAGTAAAAAAGACTAACAAAATGTGAACTTTTATGTGGGGTATGAACATATAGATTCTTATGCCTCATGTGGACCCATTAACGGAGCAACAACTAGTGGGGATATGCAACCTTCAACAATCTTCGCAGCAGGCAGAGGAAGCTCTTTCACAGGGGCTTGAGCAGCTCCAGCAGTCGTTGGCTGATACGGTGGCGAGTGGATCTCTGAGTGAAGATCTAAACGTTGGAAATTATATGGGATATATGGCGATGGCTTTGGGAAAGATTGGCAGCCTGGAAGGTTTCGTTCGACAGGTTCCTTATTTTCTCACATCATCATCATCATCATCATCATCATCATCATCATCATTATAAAAACTTTGATTGATGCATTTTTTAAATTTAAGCTATACGGTTTAAATTTATAAGACTTTAGAAGGATTTTGTTATGAATATAAAGCTAAATGAGCTGACCATATTGTGTGGATGGGCTAATGTATTTTTTTTCTTTCTCATATATGACATAAAATGGGCAAAAAGACAGATTTCATGAAAGATTTAAGATAAATGAAATCTTTTCTTTGTATGTGCTAGAAAATTTTTTAAGGAGAAAAATCTTAAATGTTAGCTTAGTATAATTTTCCAGTACATAGATAAATAAAAGTTATAAGAGATGATAAAAAAATTTACATGAAAAATAAAAAAAATGAAACAAAAACATAAATCTAGTTAATATAATTTACTAGAAAATTGAAAATACAAAAACCCACTTTTCTCCTCAATTATAAAAAATGAAATTGCAAAATTATGTTGAAATTATAATTACTTTGACATAATCTGACAAGTACAACCGTATAAAAATACTTAAAACTACAATATTAGTGGGTGGCTACAATAACCACTAGTGATAATCAATGATTGTTATAAATCATTGGTCTAGCGCTTCTCTTCAAGAGTTATGTTTTAGTTTTCAACTTATTCTTAATTCCCCCGCCACCCTCCCCCTGTCCCAACCTCTCTCTCAAGATTGAGGGTCTTTTTATAATTTTTGAGAGGTGCATTTTAATATCAAGAATCTCAAAACACTTCATTGAGCGTACCACATTAATTTCATTTATCATGTCATTTTTTTTAACATTTAGTGAAGTACCTTAATGACCTTGAAACTAAATGATCTTGAGCTTGTTGGATTCCTCTCGATGAGATGCTTGATTTAGGTATAAGTTTGTCAATTTTGAAGATTGCTTAACCTTTCAAATAATGCATCAACTTCTTTGATCACCCTTCAAGTGTTTGATTTCAGCTTATTTTGATTCAGATTGGATCATGTTCAGTATCATTTTGGCTATAAATTTATTGAAATCAGAGTTTAGAAAATCTTGAGTTTGATTTTAGAGATATTTTACATTAAATACATTGAAATTCATGTTTGATCATACAAATCTCTCGGCGACACGTCACTACTAACATAGTTATAAAATATGCTTCACACAAACAAGGAATTATAGTTAATTGTTGTCCCATGTGTAGACTTCTTTGATTGTATCTCACTACATCTTTTTGTTAGCCTCTCAGATCTTTGGCATGTAATATTAATTTTATGATACTATCTTGAGCATTGATATTCTCTTTATCATTTTAAAACAAACATAAAGGTCAATGCTAAGACAAAGACAATCTCTTTTAGAGTTTATCATTACTCCATGATAGAGTCATTTTTTCTAAAGACAACTTCATTAAATTTTTCATCAGAGAAAATATATATATATGTCTATATATATATATAAATATAGTTTATATATATATATAAATATAGTTTATTTATGCTATGATTGTGATGGCACTTTATAAAGCAAGATTCGAAGAGTTATGATAAGTTTATTGAGAATTTCTAATACGAAGTCGGTGTCTTATCTTATAATATTCCTCTTATTTATACAACACGACAAATTACTACTTAATAGGCATGGCTATTAAGAGGTCCCATTTTTTCTTTTTTTTTAAAATATAAATAAAATTTGAAAAAGAATATTATCTCTTCTTGTTTTCTATCAAAATAATATATTTTATTGAAATTATTCTTGTAATTTATTAATGATTTTTGGAGCGGTGCAGGCTGATAATCTAAGACAGCAGACCCTTCACCAACTGAGGCGTATTCTAACAATTCGACAAGCTGCGAGGTGTTTTCTGGCAATTGGCGAGTACAACAACCGCCTGCGCGCCCTCAGCTCCCTCTGGTCTTCTCGCCCTCGAGAGTAAGCTTTCATTTTATTTATTCATGAATATTAAAATAAAATCAATAAATAATTTTGTAAATTGTTCCTGGTTTTTTGTATATATTTTTATTTTAGATAAATAAAAATGAATAGTTGTTGGATGAAACACAAAGAGAAGAAGAAGAAGAAGAAACATGAGAATAATTTTATTGGATATAGTAAGCATAAAATAAGAATGGGTTAGAATGGACACATTAAAGGCCTAGTTTTGAAGAGCCAACCACAGACATATGGCAACAACTTGTAATTATTTGACATTAATTTATATTGAGGTAATAAAAAAATAAATCTCTTTAGATTGATTAAATTTATGTTTTAGGATTCAAGCTCAACCTAACCCTCTACTAGTCTTCATCATTGACTTTAGTTAGAATTTTTTTAATTGAATTGGATTGAAATTATCATGTTAGGTCAATTATTTAGTTTACACACAAACATATATTTGTGTCAGTGTGTGTAGGCGTGTAAGCCTATGGCGGCAAGTTGATAGACAACTGCGTTGTCAGTCGTAAGTCCCCTCGTGACCCGAGCTAGATCACTACAGGGACGACTATCACTTATGGGACTTTTAAAATATATGTACACGGACAAAACCAGCTGAAAAGTTGCTATTTGATAAGTAAATTATTTTTATTTATTAGTAAGCAATAAATGAAAAAAATGCATGCTTTGAATTTATGATTTTAGAAAAAAAAACAATTTTCTCTTTTAATTAGTAGGCCATATTTCTTCTGAAAATAGAAAAAAAAAGAAAAATGAAACTCTAATATGCATTGATTTCTTCTTAAAAAATTCCAAATCCATTTAATTTTAAAATCCAACATAATTAGTTGAATACTTTTATTCCAATGACAACTTTTCTCCTATTAAAGTTCCATATTTCTATTTCGGCACTGATTCAGCTCTCTAATTAAAATTTCATTAGATAAAAGTTAGCTAACCTTAATATCTTTGCAGGAACTCAATAGCAAATGAGAATGGTTTTCCTGCTTCTACAAACCTCCAAATCCTTCAACCAGCAGTGGATGCTCATTTTTCAGTTTTCTGACCTTGCTTATACTCTCAAAATGCCTAGAGAGAGAGAGATAGCAAGAGAGAGAATGTGTGTGCGAGGGAGGGAGAGAGAGAATATGAAAGAGAGAGAATGTGAGAGAATGAGGGAGGGAGAGAGAGAGAGAGAGAGAGAGTATTGTAATTTCTCATAAGAGTAAGGATTGGAAGGCAATTATTAAATTTGAAGAAGTGGAAGAGGCATTTTCTTATTAGGGGAAGAGTAATTTGAAGGCTGGCTTTCATTTCCAAGTTATTCAAAGTTTAATGCGATTGGTTCTTTGATTTTAAGATTTGGAAAAATTAGGGCCATTTGCATATGTATTTACATATTTAACACTCAAAAATGTAATATTTACATGCATAACAGTGATCAAATCCTTAAAATCACATAACAAATATTGCTACAACTAATTCTTTAGAAGTGAAGTATGCCTTTTCATGCTTATAAATGTAAATATATATGATTAGATGTTAGATATGTAAATACATGTAAATTGTGTGGTTGCATGTAAATTAATTTTAGATTCTTTGATAATCTTCAAATTTTATGTTCACAATAAGAAGAAAGAAGAGTTTTTTTTTAATTTTGTGTGTGATATATTTATCATCTACAACTACAATAAACTTTTTTTTTTTTTTTTTTTGAAGATTTACATATTGCTTTGTAGTTTATTCCACTGTATTTACATATCTAACACCTAAACTTCAATTTTTATATATTTGATTACATATGAAAGATTTGGTGGTATAAATGTAAAAAAATAAAGCAAACACATACGAATTGGGTGTATGTAAATGCCACATTTCAGTCAGGTTTATAGTTATTATAATGAAAAGAATCGTAAGTTGACTTTCATGTATTTGTACATTTGGGCAAAGAACATTTATCTGTTCGAAAAACGTTATGTTTACGTAAAGACTTTGTATCTATAAAATTATGTTTATAATTAATAGGTCTAAATTTTATTTTTCTTCATATCTATATATATCTGCGCACGCGCGCATGCAGACATGCACACATGTACATGCAACATAAACTACAAAAGTATATCAAAATAACTCTTGCATGGTTAAATAAAGAAAAATACCATGTTCCAATGAGTAGTTATCACCAAACAAAATGAGATGAAAGTTTTTTATATAAAATTTAAATATATTAAATGTTTTTAAAAATTTATGAAATTGTTTATTGACTTGAATATATGAATAATCTACTAGATTTTTTTAAAGAAAATAAATAAATAAATAATCATAAAAATTGAACGCTTTAAATTAATTCCTTGTTAAAAATTTATGCAACTTGGAATATATGTTTAGTTAGCTACACTAAACGTGTTCCCAAAAACTTTATATGAAAGATAATTTTATAATATTTGAATAAAAATATTATTAAAATTTAATTACATTTTTGCCGATTTCAAGTCATTTTGGTAAATTGCAAAATTAATAAAAAAGACTATAGAAGCTAAACACACATTAAGCTAAGTTAAGCATACTGTAATCTTCATGTGTGCACTTGAGCCTTTTTTAATTATCCACCTTAATTAACCTTTTTCATGCATAAGCTAAATATAAAAATTAAAATTTGGTTGTCGTATATATAAAGAATAAGATATGTATGCAAATCTTTCAAAATAATATAACTTGGAATCAAGCATTTTAGCGTTTGGCAAACACCCCAAACTTTCAGTTCACTTAAGTTCAAATAACTTCCAAAGAACGAAAAGCTAACAAAAAATGGGGCTTGCATAGAAGAAATATGACAAGCTTGTGAAGGCCTTGACATGAAGTTCTCAAATTTGAAAATAAGTATAAAAATGTAGACTTTTCACCTTGACATTAAGGCCTCAAATTCAGATGCACATCGGAGAGAACTTTTCCACTCTTCGGAGAATCCAGATCAAAGGTAAGCTCCATTGCATATCCACTTCATGAGCATTTAAATCATAAAACAAGCAATAACACAGTAAGAATTTCAAAAAATAAGTAAATAAAACAAACCAATATCATGCTAGATGAAATTATCATATGATGGAGAACCTCCGAATGCCAAAACAGAATATCCTGAGTGCTTTTACAGATCATTGTTGCACAAAAGCACCAGAGGTGGCTGACAATGGATCATTATGTTCTCCGTTAGAAAAATGTGTCAGTTTCGACCATTCCTCCAAATGTTTTCGATGGAGCACATTCATTCTAATCTTCGGCCGTTTTTCTCGCACAAGCTTTTCAGCAGCTTTCCAGTCTTCTGCCACTCCCAATGTAACCAAAACGGCGCACATCACGCAGACACTCCTGCCATGGCCTGTTTCATGGACTACAGTTTTGCATCAAACAGCTTCAGAGAATCTCAAGCTCAGTAATGGTTATCGAGCACAATTCATTTCATGTCTAATAATTTCTCTAAGAAAAAAGAATTTGGATGCATTTATCCATGGATTTCGGTTGTTTGCCATGGCCAGTAATTTGACTACAGTTTTGCATCAAACAGCTTTTTTACTTGAGTCTTTGTAGGAGTTTAAGTGATTTCTTTCTGGTGCTGGAACGATAAATATTTACGCTTACATTAATATTACTTCCCAGCTCAAGCAGTAACAAGTATATCATCATTCTAAATATTTTGCCACATGTTTGAACATAATTTACAACTTCAAATACAATGCAATGAACAAAAAAATATACAAAAGAGAGAATACACAAACTTTACATTAAAAATCCAACATGGGAAAACAATGGATAGAGCAGAAAAATTCATTATGTCAAATAAGAAATTATAAGCGGAGAGTGTCAACCAACATAAAACTGAAATTAAAATAATAATAATAATAAGATAGTAGTATAAAAAGAGATAGGTATTTATAGAATTCTACAATACCTCCATTAAAGAAAAAACTTTAAGGGCCCAATAAAGAAAAAATATATGAATCACAACAAAAAAATTATTATAAGATTAGGATCACATTATTCGAGAATTTTTGTTCAAAAGAAAAACTGCTCCAAAAAAGTCATTATAAAATTGGGATTACACATATATCTTTTTCACTTAGAATTTTTGTTGTGCCAACTGTTAAGAAAACTACTCCGAAAGAGTCATCTTTTAATTTCACTACAGAATAAGATCACACGATTCGGTAAATCCTAATAAAAAATTAAAAAAATCACAATTAAATCAATCTGAAAAGCGCACAGAATTTTTACATGAAAAAAATCAGAAAAAGAAAAAAAACCACAAAACCACACCACCACAAATTTCACTATGTAATTCAGAAAGTTTTATAAAGAACTTACACAAGTTTCTTCTCTATACTCACATGAAAAAACTTATAGAACTTGCACCATCAATTTTTACTCTCCAATCTGACGCAAAAAATTATGATGAATCACCAAAATCTACCTCTTCGACACTCCTCACTTTCATAAGGATGTTCGTCGAAGAATTCAAAAGAACAAAACAATAAGTTACACCTTCCCATGTTCGAAATCGGCTTAAAAATCGAAATCTCGTGTACTAACTAGATGTAGAGCAGGCGCAAATGTGCCCAAAGCTGACGCCTAAACGTTGGCTCCACTACAGCAACGCCCTTATGGGGCGCTTGATCGCCCATGGCTGGTGCCTAGGCGCCAGCCTTAAATGCTACTTCGAATGCTTTAGCTCCACACTACACAGTAGTCTCCGACTTAGAGACAAAGCACCGAGCACCAGTCCTCTGTACTTGTACCTCTATATGAATCGTCTTCATAGTCACGTACAGTGTGTGATTCACTCTCGATCTCAACCTTCATGAAACTCAACTGAAGTCAAACACAACTTTAGTTTCTTAACAATCACCACCTTTGTCAGTTTATCCATAGGATTTTCAATTGTATCTATCTTTTCCAGAAATAACTGTCAATCTTCTACAAGAGATCGAATGAAATGATACCTGAGTTGAATGTGTTTCGTCCTGGTATGAAAAAAAACCTTCTTAGCAAGATAAATCACACTCATTCTGTCACTGTCGAGCTTTCCACTCTCCTGCTCCTTGCCCAATTCCACCATAAAGTTCTGTAGCAAAATCATTTCCTTACCAAGCTCAGTGATAACAATATATTCTGCATCTGTAGTAGAAAGTGCAACGATCTTTTACAATATGGAAACCCAACTCACTGTTGTGTTCCCTAATATGAAGATATATCCCGTTGTACTTCTCTACTATCCACATCTCCAGCTATATCTGAATATACAAATCTATATAGACTGATCCTTGCACTTCCATAACAAAGTGTCATGTTGATTGTTTCTCTCAAATACATAATAATCCACTTCACCGTCGCCCAATGATGTCTACCTGGAATGCACATGTATCTGCTAACTACTCACAATGCATATGCAATATCTGACTTAGTATAAATCATCACATAATCAAACTTTCAACTATGAAAGCATACAAAGTTCTCTCCATTTGTGTCTGCTCTGCTTCAGAGTTTGGCGATAGCACCTTAGATAGTTTGAAGTGATTACCTGAGTAGTGCTAACTAGTTTCACCTCACTCATATTGAACCTCTATAGGATCTTCTCAACCTACACTGTCTGAGACAACTTTAGCGTTCCTGCACTTCTGTCCCTAGTGATTCTCCTTCCAAGGATCTTCCTGGTTGGACCTAAATCCTTCATCTCGAACTCACTTGATAATTGAATCTTCAATTCCCTGACTTTCTCCATATATGTCCCTGCAATCAACATTTCATGCACATGCAAAAAAGCAAAATATTAATAGTTACTGAAGTGTTTGATGAATCAGCAGTAGCCTGCTTGACACTTCATGTACCCATTGTTGACATGAACTGTCAAACCTCCCGTACCACTGTCTCGGGGTCTGCTTCAAGCAATAGAGGCTCTTCTTCAATCTGTAGATGAAGCCTTCTTTGCCTGGAATCTTGTAACATTGCACTTGCACCATACACAATTCCTCTAGATCTCCATGTAAGAAAGTTGTTTTTACATTCATTTGCTCCAGATGTAGATCTCCTTTTGCTACCAAACTCAACACAACCCTGACAGTCATCATCTTCACCACCGGGGAGAAGATCTTTGTATAATCCACTCCTTCCCTCTACTGGAAACCTTTCACAACAAATCTTACCTTGTAGCGCTTGTTACCATCTGACTCTTCTTTTAGCTTGTAAACTCACACGTTGTGTAGTGCTCTTTTTTCATTTGATAGTACCATCAAATCCTAATTCTGATTTGACTCTAAAGATTGCATTTCTTCATGCATGACAAGCTCTCACCCTCTTGAATCTTCAACTTAAGTGGTCTCCTCAAAGCACGTTGGTTTCACCAATACCAGTTAGTAACAAATAGTGTAAAGAAGAAGAATACCTTCGTACTCTCACCCACTTGATTCTTCAACTTAAGTGGTCTCCTCAAGGCACGTTGGTTTCACCAATACCAGTTAGTAACAAATAGTGTAAAGAAAAAGAATACCTTTGTATGAATTGTTTCACTATGTTGGATCTTCTGACTTCTGTAACAGATGACTGAGGAACTTCTAGTGCACCTTCTGGTTGAGGACTTGTTCTTTATCCATCTTCCTGATCAGCAGTAGGATCTATCTCGGCATACTGGAATTTTCAGAAGTAGCTGACAAAATATCCTGAGTTCTAATCCCGTCTTTGTACATCTCCATTTCGTTGAATGTCACGTCCCTGCTCTTGATAAATTTCTGATTCTGATAATCCGAAAACTTATACCCAAACTCAGAATCATATCCAATGAAGATGCATTTGACAGATTTTGAGTTAAGCTTACTTCTAGACCCTGCATCAATATGCACATATGTAAAACACCAAAGTATTTTTAGGTGAGATAGATTTACCTTTTTTTCACTCCAGACTTCTTCAGGTAAGTCTTCCTTCAAAGGTACTGATGGATTACATTTTATCAGGTAAAGTTTTGTATTTACAGCTTCAACCCAAAACTAGTTTGACAAGTTTGCATGCAACCTTATGCTTATAACAAGCTTCTTAATTGTTTTGTTCATGCGCTCAGCCACACCATTCTGCTGCGGTGTCATTGGAACTGTGAACTCATATCTGACTCTCTTTGTAGCACACAAATTTTTGAACTTTTGATCACGATACTTGCCCTCATTATCTGATGATCAGAAACACTTCAGCTTCAAGCCTCTCATTTTCTACCATTGTCTTTCATTTCGTAAGGACTTCAAATAATTCAAATTTTTTCTTTTAAAAATAAACTCATACCTGTCTCGTGTGATCATCACTAAATGTGACAAAATAGTGAGAACCTCCAATGGATTGTACTGGAGTAGGACCCCATACGTTAGTATATAATAACTTCAATTTTTTTTATTCCATCACTGATTGCTCTTGGAGAAAGAAACCTTATTTAGCATGTCATATCTACAGTCTTCACAAAAATACAGATCAACTAATTTCAAACCCTGAAACATACTAAAAATATGGACTCCATACCTTTCTTGCTCATATGGCCTAGCCTACGATGCCACAAACCTGTATCCACCCTAGTTTCAGCCACATATATGAAATCAGTCATTTCATTTATCAGATAAAGGACGCCTTTAATGTTTGCCCCGAGCCATCACTAATGCCCGCTGGTCACCTTCCAGGAATCATCAGTGAAAGTTGTCAGCTGGCTCATAGAGATAAGATTTCACTTAAAACATGAAAGATGTCTTAGATATCAACATCACCATTTCCAACTATACTACAGGTCTTGTTATCTCCCAGATAAGCCTTCCCTAGATCACTCTAAGTGTAGGTTTTAATTACGTCTTTATTGGGGCAAGCATGAAAAAAGACATCTGAATCCACTATTTAGGATTCAGTACTGAATAAGGATAACACAAGGGAGTCATTTTGAATTTCACCTGAATCCATTATTTAGGATTCAATACTTTCGTGTCCTCCACTACCAACTTTCCTTGAAGCATTGCAGTCCTTCTTGTAATGCACTTTCTTACCTCAATTTCAACATTCTCCTCTACTTAACTTGGGTTTTTTCCTCTTGAATTTAGATCTGCCTCTCCTGTATTCCTGTCGAGATTACTTTCTCTATTATCAGCATTCGTAGACGTGAAGATTCATTATTCGTTGTTTTTCTATGAACACCTTCATTCGACATCATACCCACGATATCATTGAAGTTCAACTTCAAAGTCCCTGAAGAATTATTCACCGTCGTTACCAAGTCATCACAACTATCCAACAATAAAGGTAATATCACCAGTGTTCTAACCTCATCATCAAACTTCATTCCCATAGAACACAACTAGCTAATCAAAGTGTTGAAGTTATTGCGATGTTCTATCATTGAACTGTCTTCTATCATCTTCATGTTGAATAACTTCTTTAAAAAAAAAAATATTGGAAGCAGAAAACTTTTCGTACATCTTTGTCAGTGCTGCCATGAGATCCACCATAGTTTTCTCATTCACAATATTGAACACAATAGATGAAGAAAGTGTCAGCCCGTTCAAACCATGTGTCGTTCGATGCAAGACAGAGTCGCAATGCAGTACCACGCCACCCTTTTCTGTTGTTTGGGACGGCGGTGCCACCACGACTTGCCGCGATTTAGTCCAAACGTGGAACGCCCCCTCTCTCCTGTGGCACAGCTTCACCCTTGGGCTTTTTACCCATCCACCCCATGTTCCTGACTGCAGCACGAGGTTTTGGTCCGCCGATGCATGCAATAAAAACCTTACCTGAAAAACGGAAACTTTATACCTACTTCCCTCCTCCCCTTTTTGTCGGCACGCTCATGTTGGGTTTATTCCGAATGGGCTGCTCGCAGACGAAGAGTTATTAGCCTACAAGAAAACTGATAGTTTGAGTCACAACGGCGAAGGTTCGATTGTTGGAGAGCTCGGTAGTAGTGGCCGTTCGAAGATGACTACGGTGAAATTGAAGAGATTGCTGGAGCAGCACCAGGTTCTTCAGCGACTTCTGCTGATTCTTGCTCTGATTGAGACTTTCATAGTTATTGGTGATGGTGTGCTTACTCTTACACTATCTGGTACATTTAGATTGAATTGTTGTTTTACGGTTTTGTTTTCTTTTTGTGTTAATTTTATTCTGTTTAATTTTGTTGAATTGTGTTGTTAGTCATGCTTTTGTTTGTCAGTATTCTTTGTCGTCTCTAGGTTGGAACTTAAATCATGTTTCTGTTTTTTTTTTACTAATTGCGACCTTGATTGTGGTTGGCTTATTCTTGTGAAAAATTTTTCAGTTCTCATTTGAAGTATGATCTAACTTCATGTAAATTCCTGAATTTTCTCTATTACTTTATGTTGAAATTTTGGGGTAAAGAGGGATATATTGATTTACTTGTAGTTTTATTAAAAATAATATAATCAGTATTTTACTTGTAAGTTTATTAATTTTTTTTCTTTTTCTAGGCACTTTTAGTATTCACTGTTACGTGAGTGTGTATTTGAACATTTGTTTTGTTTTGAAAAGAATTTTTGCTTCTAAAGTATCAAGTATGTCGTTCTCACAGTTCTGTTTTAAACAACTTCACTAAACATGGGCAGAATGATCATTTTTCCAGAAACAGATGTCCCACAACTGTATTCACACAGCTGCAACAAACAGACTGTCAGCTTCCTCACAGCAGTTTTCTAGGGTAGTGCAATTGTAGCTAAAAAACTGAGAAGTTACAGCTACCCCAAACAGACACTTAAGCTTCTTTGTGATTCCTTGTAGTGACAGGTATAATTTTTTCTAATATCACAAATCCTTCACCTGCATCTTCCAAAAAGCGAAGTTCGTCCCATTGAACTTCCTCACTTTGAAATTGCTTCTTCGGTTATTGCTCTCACTTGAAATGAACCCCGTTCTGATACCAGTTTGTTAAGGAAACTACTCTGAAACAGTTACCTTTTAATTTCACCACAAAATAGGATCACAATATTTGAGAAAACCAAAAAAAAAATTTTAAGAAAGCACAATCAAAACAACCAGAAAAACACAGAAATTTTATGTGGAAAAATCCGAAAACAGGAAAAAACTATAGAGCCACACAACCACAAATAGAGCTGTAAAAAAAACTCGTTGTTCGCTAATAGTTCAAGTTTGGCTTACCAGGGAGTTCGAGTTTTATAGGTTCGATAAACAAACGAGACGAATACAAACAAATTTTTTCGTTCAGTTTATAAATGAACCAAACACGAACAATCATGCATTCGACCGTGTTCAAATCGTTATTGTTCGAAATTATAAATAATTTAAATTAAATATATAAAAAAAATTTATTATATTTTAAAAATAATCATATACTCTAAAAATGTATCATATTTTAAGAAAATTAAATCCTATAAATTATAATATATAATAAATTATTCATAATAATATATTAATATTAATTATATAAATATTATATATTTATATAATAAGTTATATAATAAATAAAATAATATTTATTACTTAATTATTTTATAATTATGATTTACGGTTTTTTACGAATTTGAGTTAGAAACTTTAAATGTATATATCATTTATAAATTGTTCTTAACAATTTCTAATAATAAAGTTGAAGAAATAATATATATATATATATATATTTAATAGAGGGATGTTATTAATTTTTTTTGGGTAATTTGAGAATTAATAATTCAACTTATTATCATTTTAACAATTCAAAAAATTCAAACAAAACAAAGAGATTTGAAATTTTTTGAATAATTCAAACAATTCGAACATTTCAAACATTTCAAATTAATTTCAAACAAATCGAACCGAACACGATCAGTAACTTCATGAATAATTTCAAACACGAGTCTATTTCAAACACAATTTATTTCAACCGAACAGAACACGAACACGAGCTCTGTTTATTCATGTTTGGTTTGTTTACACCCTAAACCCCAAATAGGGTTGAAAAGAGATAACAGGCGTGGCGGTGGCTGGGAATAGGAAGAAAGGAGAAGCAGGATAGCAGCTGGAAGGTGAAGAGGAGGAGGACAGCAACTGGAATTTGGAGGGTCAGGCTTCGGTTGTAAGATAACAGCCAAGTGCAGGGTTGCATGGGGAAGTAGGCAAAGGTTGTCACCAACCCGAAGAAGAATACAGTTAGAGCACCACTTGTCATCTGAAACAGCCCTAGCAAGAGAAAATGCCTTGAGGCAGGAATCTCAAATCCAAAGAGACCGAAAACTAAATCTTAACTAAAACAAGCAACATATTTATAATAGGTAGAAAGGAGAGTAAAGGAGGGAAAGGGGCGGTAGTTTCCACCCAAGAGCTGGCCAGCAGGTCCGGCCTCCCTATTGGACAGGCTAGCTTATTGTTGAACCGCATGATTCAGCTCATATACTCCACATCATTCCCACTATGAGATCGCAAGTTCGAATCATACATATTACCGCGTAGGCTCACCTTTTCCGAAAAAGAAAAGAAAGATCCAAAGCCTTTTGTTCAAAGTTGCCAAAATAAACTGAAAATATGCTTATCAAATGGAACACTACCTCGTCTCCTGAGCACAATCAATCAAAGGAAAATGTCTACTTATTCTAAAGCCATTTAACAGATTTTACAGGATGGAACCATAAGTGAACTTCAAACAGATTGCAATAAATTGGATGTAGCGCCATTTAGTAAGTTCGGCAATACTGATTTCGACACTCATAACCTCAATCACGCTAACCTTCAAATGTTTTCTGCGTTTAGCTGCACATTATCATTTTGGGAAATTTACATTCATAGCACACAATTCCACAATTCTTACACATTCATAGCACACAATTCTTACGTATTTACATATCTCACACCAAAACTTTCATATTTACATACATAACACTTTGGTGCTTTAAACCTAAGCATGCAAATGTGTATTTCATTTTAAAAAAGTGGTAATAGTGCTATTTGTTATGTGACATTATAGATTTGAGTGTTACGTGTGTAAATATGGAAGTTTAGGTGTGAGATATGTAAATACATAAGAATAGCGTGCTATGAAACGTTGTTTCGCTGCTGTTTGTAAGTATTAGCTTCTTTAAATTGTCATAGAAAGAAATATGTACTCACCAAATGCACAGTGGACATAAATTGGCTTCTTTTGAGCCCTCATTTTGCTTGCCCAGCGAACTGCAGTTTCAATTTCAGTTGGTAGTGGTGCTCTTGTATCCCAAGTCGCCACACATAAGTATGAATCCTCTGAGATGAAAGAACTTCTAGGCAGTTCACAAGTACAATCAATAACTGCAGGGTCTCCAGGTGGTAAATGTTTCTTAGAAGAAGGCCACCCTCCAACAAAAAAACCTTCTGAAATTTCATTATAAATAGGTTCCCTTCTCTTCAACCTCTTAAGGAAAACATATAATAGAACAAGAAAAAAGAATGGAAAGTACAGAATTTTTGACCATAAAGGAAATTTCCCGTTGGAGGCTTTCCCTAATATCAAAGGAAAATTTTTGACAGGGAGAGAAGCAACCAAAACTAGGCTGGCAATGAATGAGCTGTACAGAAGTGATAAAGGAATTAGCTTAAAGCTCGAGTCTTTGAGACAAACAGCAGCGAAGAAGAAAGTAAATCCCACAACTCCAAACGCTTCAGAGATTCCCATGACAAGCCAAGAATTTAACTTGCATTTCAGCTATTACCTGTCAGAACAGAAATTGATGAAAATTGCCTCCGTTCCAAAACACAAGCCATAAAATGAGACAGAAATTCGAGAAATCCGAATACAAAAATGCAGCACAAGCTTTCACTGAAGATGTTTTGTATGAAATGCTAAGAAAATGCATGGATCAACGCTGTTGGTTCCAATTTAATGGATCGCTGAAGGACAAATTGAAAGAAAATGAGACTAAACTTTTGAGAATTCTCTTTGTATTATTTTGAAAGAGGAAATGATACAAGTTTGGAGTGTATGTCTTACATTGCAGCACAACACCCAATTTATACTAACCAATTGTTGACCTCATTTTTGTGAGGTCTTCTTTTCTCCTCCTTAGAGCCTAGGATCTAGTTCTAGGAGTTCCTATTGACCGTCTTAGAAAACTAGAATTGAGACTCACCCTTTTAGAAAATTTTAGTCAATTCCTATTTTCCTTTGATATCTAGCATCTTTGGCACAAGACCATCGTCTTATGAACGAGCGGTTATGAGTTATTTTGCGAAGACTCAAGGGAAAAATTCCTGATAGGACTTCAAGCCTTAGGAAAACATCGTCACGACCTTTTTCGTCATATACACACATCAAATACACAAAGTTCACGAAATTGCACGAAATCGGACTTCAATTAAGCCCAAAGGACGGGTGAAAATGCAAACTTCTCCGGATGACCTCCGACGACAAATTGGACTGCGCCAACGCGTCCGGGATACCCATTTTGGTAGAAAAGGACACTCATATTGCTATA